ACACAACCATGAGTTATTACGGACTCAAATATGATGTCCTCTGTAACGGCTTGCCCATATCAATAAAGTCTTAAATATTTTACTTATTGGTTTAGTGAGGTAAAGTAGCCACCAAAGGGGGCATGCAACAAATCTGACTGTAAAATTGTGGGTGCAAATCAATATTTACTGTAACAGATATGCTAGGCTGATAGCCGGTGCTCAGCTTCTCATACTTCTTACTTCAAAAAGTCTTTATGGAAAATGTTGTAAAATCTTTCAGGACTTCACAAAACATTTTGAACATTTAGCCAGTTGAATATTATTAAAATACTTAGACATATGGTACTGCGATAGCAATCAATACTGGCCTATACCTGTTTTTAAACCAATATACTGATGCATCGCTTCTAGAAGAGCATATTCCACCAACAGCTAATAACTGGTTAAAGTAGATATATGTGGCAGACAGTCGTTTATTTTGTGCTTAAGCCTCTTATTCCTCTAAATGTGCAAATGCACAGACTTTCAGACTTTATATATGTAGAATCAATAACTTTATAGAAGGGATGAACGCCCCCCCCCCTCCCCCCCTATCACTTATATCAAATAACTGGACTGAAAAAATACTACTAATAAAAAATACCTTGATGGCACAGCTCAAAGCCCCTCTGACCTCCAGTTCTGATGCATTTTTTCTTAAGCTGCAGGTTTCCCAGGTATCCCAGACTGGCATTACAACTACATGTTGAAAAAATTGGGCACTGAATAGATTACACAAGGCCAAATAACACCAAGTAATGAGCCCACTATGGATAACTTGGTGTTAGTTGGCGGTGGCTTACTTCTACTTACTGATAAATTACAACAAATCCAAAATCCATACTCTTTGACAAAGCGCAGATTTGCTGCTAGAGCACACTTTAGTCTTCTTCAGTACTCCACTCTACATTACATGCCTTCGTCTGACAAACCAAAGAATGTATACAACCTACCATAGTAGGAAACAGCCAGCATCCACACTGGCTGAGCAAAAACTGTGAAGCTCCTGGATTAGGTCCCTTTTCTCCATTAGGGAATGAGTCTTTCAAACATGTAGCGCTGCAGGGACAGAGCATCTCTGTACATGTTTTACTGAAAGCGTATATTTCCTGAGAGGATTAACTGTTCATTAGTAGTATGCTGATGAAACAGACGGACATCATAACTGCTTGTTTATTCTATATTGACTGCTTCATTTTTCACACAACCTCACTGCTGTGTGACTACATGCTTACAGCCAGTTTTATAACTACTAGCAATACCAACTAATTATGATGGCATATATTAACTCATCTAAGCCAAAAACCATAGTTATTAGGAAAGTTCTGGAAAAAGGTCTACATTGCAGAACTACTAATAAAAAATGGTTTTGCATAAAGGTACCGAAAGCAAAGGACGTCGCTGTTTAAGTGGTTTCTAGCAATTTCTGTGGGCTCGTGAACTCACAAGGGAACGAGACACGTCCTCCTGACATAGCAAGGAGTATCGAAAGGCTTTTACTACTCACCGCATCTTTCTCCTCTCCTCCACTGTCGTGCTGCTCCATACTGCAGAGTTTCCTTTTGTTTTTATTCTCCGTCCTCTTCATACTGTAGGAACAGTCCTCGCGCGCGCCGGATTGCACCACTTCACCCGCTTTCCTGTGCAGTTTCCAGTATCCTCTCGGTAACTTCACTTAGCTGGCTAGCACAACGTGTCAGGTCGGCTGCTGTGGTTTTCAGGGAGACCTCAGCGCCAAACTGAAATGCATGGCTTGCTGTTGCAGTTTGTTGACTTGCGATTCCACCTATGAGTTTGCTCCGGCCAGCCATTCCCGACTCAGAGCCCGGCTACACTTCTTGTGCTGACTCCACATCTGGAAAACCCGTTGTGACAAGCTGTCAATCAGCCCTCTTGCATGAGCAGCCACCGGTGTCTCCTTGAAAACAATAAAAGGGCAGTGTGCGCTTTTCACAGGGATAGCTTTATATTTCTAGAAAAAATGTATCCGTGCTGCGCTTTTTTGTGCAGTCTGTGGCAACAGTTCATTCACCCCGATTTAAGCTAGCGTCTTGCCGCTGAAACACTAGCTGAGCGGCTAGTCTGGCTGCCTGATAACGTCTACCTGCCCAGAAAGACCGTGACACCCTGGCAGGTCTACCTTCCCTCTTAACGTTTCCAGATGATTCCCCGAGAGCTCCACGTCTTCCGTCTCTGCCTGGTGACTTCTTAGGCGACATACATCATGTCTCGGTGTTCGCCCATCCTCACATAAAGGCTGAGCTCTGCGAACACTGAGTTAACCTCGCTGTTGAACTGCAACGACACGGTACAGCTCAGCTTGTTTCCTGGCTCTGACACGACTGCTGGGGTGTCAGGTTAGCAGGAATACAACATCCGGTCCATTAATACCAAAATAAAAGTATCATTTATTCAATATGAAAAATGCAAGAAAGGACGGAAATCCACATGTAATAAAAAAAAACAACAACAACTATCTATCTAACTAACTACTAAACAAATAAATATATAAATAATAAAAATGCAATGACTATTAAAAATAAATATTAGTGATAACCTCTTTGTCTCTCCCAGAGTGTTCAATCTTTTACGTCTTTGTAGTAATATAAAATAAACCAGATGGGGATAACATTCACTTAATTTGAAGCGATAATAATAATAATTAAATTGTATTTATTAATTTAACCAGGTTAGTCTCACTGAGATCAAAGATCCCAGTGGCACTAACCACTGATCTCTTTTACATAATAATTATAATAATTTGGGATTTTCCTGATGTGAGTGAAATTTGAACATTGACAATGCAATGTGATATCGGTAACTGTCGTGGTAAAAGAAGACAAATATACTCTACTGCCATTTCAAAAGAAGAAAATATATTTTTGTTTATCCTGAATACTGAAGTCAATATGCCGTTCTATTATGTCAGTATTGCATTATTATTTCATTATATTCAGTTATTTTTCGCAATTTGCGCAAGTCCAAAAGGTTTTATTTTGAAATCCTAATCCCCTTCACACCTCTGGTTTCAAGCTCATCTACACCCTCCGCTTGCTAGAAATTTCTTGATTTTGGAAAAAAAAGATGATGATGATTTAAAAAAAATCCATGCAGACACATGAAAGAAATTAACTATTTTTTTTCCTAAAATTTAAAAGCACACTCACAGACTCAGACACCTTATACTAATTCCTTTATATATACCGACTTGCTTTTGCATCCTCGTAGTGTTGGGGCTGTGAAACAATTCCACGAGGTTTGTTGTTGTTTGCTGCCACCTATTGATTAAAAACTAAACTGCTTCGTATGTGTTTTCTGTGTATATGTTTAATGAGACCGTGAAATAAACAGATAGGCTTATAAAGTGATGTATATTTTAATGTTTCATATATAGCTGCATATAACATTTACATATTAAACAATCATATATTCTATTATCTAATAATATGAATAATTAGTGTGTATTTTAGGCGCACATGTTGTTTCATAAAATCCTTTTTTCCCCCAAAGAGCTAATTTTCTTGTCACTTTGACATCCTTGTATTTAAACCACATGGCAATACTTTGATAAATTGTGCCATATATATGACAGTCAGATTTTCTTTTATCCCCACAGTAGCCTTATTCTATCTTCCACTGTTAAACTTCACCAGGTACACCTGTTCAGTGTTTCATTAATGCAAAGATCTAATTAGCCCATTACACATCAGCAAGTCAATCCATTTAGTCCTGCAGTCATGGACAAGACAACTTGCCGAAGTTCAGGTTGTGCAGCAGCAGAAGACCGCACCAAGTGTCACTCCTGTGCTGATTAGGATAACATTGACTGGGCTGATGGATCTCAAACTCTGCTGCAGCATACACATGCTTTAATTTAGTTTATCTGGCATAAACAAAATAAAAGCATGCCAGTATCCATCCTATTTGTACCAGTAGTTTAGACTGGTGGTGTAATGTGGGGGACATTTTCTTGGCACACTGTATGCTCCTTATTACCAAGTCAGCATCATTTACTCTAAATGTCTGACTGAGTATTGTTGCTAACCATATCCATCCCTCTCTGATCATAGTGTACCCATCTTCGGATGGCTGCATTCAGAAGGATAACACACTCAAATAGCCTCAAACTGATTTTTAAATATGACAACGAGATCATGAAAATTTACCATTTTTCTTTTTTAATGCTCTGATATTTTGAGAAGCACTATGTGATTTTTGTCTTGAAAGGTGCTTTACTTTACTGACTTTACTATCACTTTCCTCAAATGACCTCCCAAGTCATTGATTTTAATCCATTTGAGACATGTTTGGGGTGTAATAGAATTGGATATTTGCATTATGGATGTGTAGCTGGTCTGCAAATTTGTTTGACATTCAGTTGACCACAACTCCATATTATGGTCAGTATAGACAAGAAAGTCCAAAGAGTTTCCAGCGCCTTGTTGAATCTTTGTCACAAAGCCAATATGGAGTTCAACTCAGTGTAACTAAAGAAATGGCCAGTGAGTTTACCCTTGCTCTTTAGTATAAAATAATTCATAAATTTCAAAACATAACAGGAAACAACTCATATTTTCTGTGAATCATGTCTTCTTTAATTTAACATGTATGATCACTTTTTAATTTTAGAGTTTTAAAATTTTAATCTTTGAATTTTTATGCCTCTGCTTTCATTTTGCATTTCCTGCTTTTATAGCTTTTCTTGCTTATTGTTGATCTTATAATCAGCATTTAATATTGTTGATCTAGAAAGAGAAAACCTAGTGACACTTGAAAGTATTCCGTAATTTTGTGTAAGTCACATGTACATCTACTGTTATTCTGTTTTGTTTTTATTTTGAACAGCATTTGAGCACTGATTAAACACGGTTTATGAAGTGTACAGTATAAAGAAACCCTCACTGTATTTGCAAGGCTGTGCTTAAGGTGAACAAAATAAAAAACATGTTGTATAACTTGAGAAAACTACAAACATGACAGATATTTTTGTCCCCTTTTATTGGAAAGATCTTCACCACAAAACATTTTAATAAAGAGAACAGTCTTAAAAATACAAATGGCCTTCATCCAAAGGCCATCTCTTCTCTCTGATGTACATACTACCGTTAATATGCACATATATGAAGGGTGGCTCCTCAAACAGCTCTAACACTAAAAAAAACAAAAACAAAACAAGTTTGACCTTTGACCTCTAAGGGAAAACAGTCCAAAACTGTTTAATCTCTTTTAAACCTGATTTAACAACATGCAAGTTGTCTACTTTGGTTCATTTTATTGCTTCTTAACTACACTAGTAGAGTGCTGTTTTATGTGATTTAGATAGCTAAAAATGCCTGGGCCAATAAAAGTGCTCCATACTGATTGTCACATGCATTCATCTAACAAATAATTTTCTTAAATCAGTTCAGTTTTAGAATTAAAACCGTTGACATGGCACTTTAATACTCAAGCTTAAAAACAAAAGCAAAGAAACACAGTGCTATGTATTGCACAGTAACCCCAGAATTTCCATTTTTCAGTAAAAGTATTAGAGGGCAGTAAAGCCACAGTTCATGCACAAAACAAAACAGGTGACCTACAAAACAGAAAAAAATCACGAAAAACAAACTAAACAATAATAATAATGATAATGATAATAAACACAAGAGGAGCCAATGAAATAAAATAAACTGTGAGTGTCACAAAACCTCTTCCAAAGGAAACGCTTCCAGAGACGTGTTTATTTTTTTAAATATCGCTGTGACAAAACAGATACTGACAAATTTAGCTAAAAACAAAAAATAAACATGGAAAAAAAGTTGTTTTAAAAAAAAAAAAAAAAAGATGACGAAGAAGAAAAAGCTATGCTATAAATGCTATGGGTTTTTTTTTCTCGTTACAAAAATGAACTGTCATCCTTTCTGGACCATTTATTAAAATGTATCTCGCAAGTATCTTTTTTACAAGGTTTATCAAGCCTGCAAGTCGATGATGCCAGACCCCCATTTTAAAATATCTAAAGATAAAGGAAAGATTGTTTCCATGTCTAACAGAAAAAGTGAAGTTCGAGGGTGAACGGTGAATCAGTGACACTGCTGTGTTACTTGAAAGTTAGAACATCATCTACCAGCTACACGACCGACTGCACGTCTTTTGATAGGTCTATGTTCTTTTTTCATTGGGATATGAGGACAAAACTAAAACATAACTACCTCTGGGGAGTATGGCTTTGTTTTATCACAACGCTCACACCACATGCATGTAATTCTACACACTGACTACAAACATGAGCCTCAACAGAGGCTAAGAGGAAGCACTTTGGATTTTGCTCTTTAACTCTCCCTTTTTCTGCTGGCATTAAACAAATTTTTTGCATTTTAAAATCCCTGCTGAAGTAACAAAGGTGAATCTCCTTCCTGATTTGTCACTTTTAAACTGTGAGTCAAGGGCATCCTCCAGAAATTGCTGATTAATTTGCTGATAAATCTAAACGTTTTCAAACTGTTTTAAATGTAGTTTATTCTTATTACAAAATTCTTATTAAAATTTGGTTTAATAGTAATAATGCAAAAAGACCGCATCAGACAGACGCTATGAATCATAAACAAACTTCAGCCAAACTGAGACTTAACTCATATGAACAAGAAAAACCTTTGAGTTCCCTCCATTAAAATCCTGCAAACATCTGCACAAATTATACCATTGATACAAATAATAAAATATCACTGCCATCTCTGTCTGTGTTGATGAACTCTGAGCTACAGGAAGACTTCCTGCAGGGGGAGCTGGTGCGGAGTCCATCCCTGGGCAGGAGAGGAGGAAGAGCTACAGGGTGAAGTTTGGGGCTTCATGACACTCCAACCAGGAGACATGTTGAGCTCACAGAAGCGTCCGCCTGAGATTTCACCTGAAAGACAGTTGACAAGAGATCCAGGAGGTTACTATGGAGCGGATCTTATTTATGCACCACCTGTTAAATGTAAGTTGTACATAATTTTAAAATGTTACACTTGTAAGTAACTTTACTATTTCTTTTTGTTAACACCGGTATCAGCTTCTGATTGCTGTTTATCAGTTTTCCTTTGTCCCCTCAAAATGCACATATGCAGAGCAAAACCAACCTATTGCTCAGCCAGTGATATTAGACATTTATATCAATTTGAGTTCATAAAAAATGTATGTGTATAAAAGTAAGTATAACAGTAACCATATATAAAGCCCAATAATCTCTTTTGCAGTTAAAATTGTCTGTTTTAAAAATATATATTTTTGGTTCATCTCCATCAGACATAGCATTTTTTTGCACTTATTACTTGATAACAGAATCAAAAGAAATAGTAATCCTGAGTAAGGACTAGAGGCCACATTCTTAAACTGGTCAGTATGGTCTCACTGCACTATTTGCTTTTCTAGTAAACAAACTGACGTGACTAGTTATTGTTTTTGTCCAAATGATGATTAGCAAGAAAGACGAACATTAGCAAGGAAAGCAACGTGTTAGTGTTTGCTTAGTCTTTTACATACAAGTATGCTGTTTACCTGTTTAGTAGTATCTCAGTCAGCCTTACATGCTGCATGATTATGTAGTATTTAAGTGGCTTTACTGGCTACATGCAAACATTTTTGATATATACTGTAGGTTCTTAATCAAAAAGCAAGCAGCTTCACCACCCAACACGCCAGACTGTACCTTTACCAGGCCAGAGTTGTGAGGATGAGGATGAGGAAGAATAAGAGGAGGAGAGGAGTGAGGGAGGAGAAGGAGGAATGGGAAAAGGAGCTTGGTGCAGGGAAGAAATCCTGAGTTCATTCTCCTGAGGACACTCAGTAGGAGATAAGATAGAGGAGGAAAGGTAAAGAAAAGAAACATCTTTTTCTAATGACCAAAAGTGTGAGGATGTTATCATCCACCCACTTAGTTGTTCTTACTTATGGGAATACAACACTCATTGTGGATAATGATACCAAAACCAGGATTAATATGAGGCAAAGAGTGAACTGACCTGTAAGTTGGTCTTGGCTTTTCTCAAGACATCGCGTGTTCTCAACACTGTAAAAAACAAAAACATACAATCATCATCATTTCTTTTTCTTACACAAACTGTAACAACAGTAAAAAACAACACATGACCATGATTACACACGATTACTGACAATACAAAGTAATCTCAGAGTCAAAATCTCAGGGTTCTCATAAATTCTCCATTTCAGACTCTATGAACAAGAAAGGCATGCCACATGAGGCACCTGTGGCTCAGGAGGTGCAGCAGATCATCACTAATCAGAAAGTTGGTGGTTTGATCCCCAATTTAAAAGTATTTTGTTTGTGCTGTTAAATAGAGAAGGATTTTTTTTAAACACAGCTTTTCCAAACATCCTCGTTTTATTATGGATGCTCACAGTATTTTACTTTGGACACAGGAGCCAAATTATTTCGCAAGTTCAAAAGTGTTCGATGCTAAAAGTCAAATGTGCATCCCTTTTGCTGGATAACAGTCATTTGTTGTCTCACACACATCATCCTAGCAAATTTCTCAAGTTCCTCCAGATTTGACGGTCTTTTGCCATTAACCTTGGTCTTCAACACCCCACAGTTTTCAGTCATATTCAAAACAGGAGTTTGTGCAGGCGAGTCGATAATGTTCACTTACTCGTACTGGAAAACAAAGTGACAACCTAGATCGAGTTTTTCTGCCGACTGCTTGAGGTCTTCTTTCAAAATCTTCTCATATGCTTCTTTCTTCATGATTTCTTACATTCTGACGATATTCCCACGTCACCTACCCATCGGAAGGTTGATTGTTCGATCCCTGGCTGCTTCAGTCTACGTACATACCAAATATACTAACTTGTAGAAAAAAGTCTTTGTGTGAATGAGGCAAGTTTTGTAAAGTGCTTTTAGTACTCAGGTGGAGTAGAAAAACATTATATAAGAAACAGTCCGTTTCCAGCCCACTGCGTGTTTTATTGTGAGGATGGTGTTTTTGGGTTGTACGCCTCTTCAATCATAAGCAGGATGTACTTCTAGTATATATAATCTTTCTCCAGGTTGTCCTGGAGTTTTCCTTGGGCTTAAGGGTTAAGTCATTCACTTGTATCTTGGCAGCTGTTCAGGGAACTTTAGATACACCTCTCACTAGTTTTCTTTGAATTTCACTTCCTACCTCCACCAGGCTTGTTCTGTACCGTGTGCCTCTCTTTGAACTCTCTCTTGTCACTCCAGTTTTTGACACTTGAAAACACCATGTATATAGATCTCAGTTTTAGACAAACATAGTCTAACCCTCAGTTTTAACTTGATTTTACAAGCTTTGAACACTGCATAGGTGAAAGACGTTTTTAGACAGGAATAGTTTGTGCTGAATACATAGAAATTTTGTATGCTTTATAAAAACAACAAGTATATTTAGAAATGCTGTGTTGAACATCCCTTTCTCTGTTAAAAAATGCGCTAAAGAAAATTTTGACAATAACTTGTATGAATGTGTGTGTGAATGGGTGAACGAAGCTTGTAGTAAAAAGCACCTTGAGTGCTTTATTAGAAATGAGAAAGTACCAGACAATTTATCGTTTCCCATACCCCTTTTATTGCCAGCTTTGGCATGCAACTCTAGCTGTGACCACAGAAGCCCCGCCCACAATCTGTTCATACCAAGTGTAGCCAATAAAAAGAGACGAGAGCCTCTCTACACTTAACACATGGTTTTACATGTGCTATTAGAGTTTTTTGGAAATGTGTACTCACATTGGCTGACTATAAAGTGCTCCATGCTATCTTTGGTGCCGCTGGAGCTCTTCACTCTCTCCATTGTGTCCTTTAGAGCCTGTTCTTGCTCTGAGAGCTTCAGACGGAGAGAAAGGACCTCCTCCCTCAGAGACTGATCCTAAATAGCAAAAGACAGGTATATGGCTCTCTAAGCTCTTGTAGATGCATACACTGACATGCACAACATGCGAGTACAACCTAAAATAATAAAGGCAGGTGCAGCAGTTGCGGTAAATGATACAATTTTGCATAAAATGTTTATTTACTCATATCCAGCTCCTTTAATCTTTGGGGAAAAGTTAGTAAATCTTTTACTTCTAAGTAAAGTATGTGCAAAGGCCCCTAACAGGGTTCACCTCACAGGGGGCAACTGTATCACCCTCATGTTTTTCTATCAGCAACAAGCTTACATAGTGAAACTTACTCTGTGTAGGGTGGTGTGATTCTTTCTGAGAGCCTGAGGAAAAGGAGCAGGATCATTTAACCCTGACAGATGTTTAAAAAAATGATTTTGAGCAGAATGTTTCTGTTATATAAACTTCAAATGTAATGGGAGTTAGATCTAAAAGTGGCAAATTAGATATATATATATATTTTTATATAGGTTTAAAACACTAATTGATTACATATTATAGCAGCAATGTAATATGTCAAAGTCTGCTTTTATTAGAGTTTTTTCAGTGATACAAATGCCCTCATCCAGTGTTAAACTGCTCCTGTTGTAACACACTGTCTTGCATTAAACTGAACATTTTAGTCAATTTTAGTAAATACTTTTATCAAGAAATATTTTTTCCACTTCTCTATTTATGTATTAATGCTGAGAAAAGAAATCATGCGTGGCAAGAAAAAAATAGTAATACAGTTATTTTGGTCTCTCGTTTTTAAAATCCCAAATCAGATTTCCTCTGTGACACCAGGAAATACTTTTCTGACCTGTTGGACTTCCTCAGATTTAGGCAGAGCTGCTCTCCAGAACACGCAAAGCAGAGACTCGGCCTCATCCAGTATCTGCCGCAGAGTTTTAGTGTCCAGCAGCAGCTTCTGAACAGAACCCCAGTCTGAAAGCTGGAACACAAAATGCATGAAGTCAATATAATGTGCATTAATTATGAATATATTTATTTCTATTTATGTATGAGAGGTTTTTGCCAGGGCTGCGGCACTTGTTCGCGTCGCTTCTGTTATGAGAAAAGTTATTTACAGACCTGACAGCACATTCCAGAGACCACCCCCTATTACAAGGCACTAATAATTTTTATCTTATCTGCTCTGGACTTTAATGAGGACCATAATTCAGTAAATGAATCTCAAGTTATATTGAATAAAAAGAGATTTGAGCTCTTACCTGATGAAAGGAGAACTCCTGTGAGGTGCTCAGAGAATAAAGAGCAGTCTCCATCTTAAGGAGGAGCGCACTTCCCTGGAGGATGTGCTGCTGCAGAACTTTGAAGTCATCAATGTGGCCCACTGCATGGCGGCCATGACAGTTATAAAAACAGCCATCTGTGCGATGTCCATGCAGGGTTGAGCCTGCTGGAAAGGAAAACGAAAGAACTGTGTCCAGTGCAGTCTTCTCTCTATGGATGCACTTATTTGATTTAAGAGTACAGAAATCCCACATAAAAAAGAACTTTTAAATGCCATAAAGATACAGGTTCAAACTTAAGCCAGGGAGATGTGCAATAACTAGGCAAGGAGTTATTATTTGAAAGAATTGTGGATGTGGACTCAAAACATACATGGTTACTGTTATTTCCTTTTTTGCTCAGACATAGTGTTCCCCATAGCCAACTGCTAATAGTTTCTGGTTTCATGTAAAATTATTCACACTGAGGGATACCTGAACAAAGCTTGCGGAATAATGTTTTCATGCTTAAAGTTATGACTATTATGGGTAGGATTGCATAGTCACAGTGCAAGTGCTGCTTGAAATCTCTCACCCTGATCAGTTGCTCCAGTTTCCTCTGTGTGTTTCTGCATAGCATGCAAAGGAGAGGAAGGACTGAAAAGTCCAGTGTCTCTCACAGGTGGAGAGGGAACGCTATCTGTGGAGACAGATTCCCATCAGTACTGACCTTAAAGTTTCCTTGTTAATACATTTTTGTAATTGTAGTGCTATGATCTGCCATATTTGTCAGGATTTTCAGAAACAGTCTAGGTGTTTCAGATATACTGACCGCTGAAGAGCTGCCTCCTGGCTTGAGGCTGCGTGTCAGCTTCTCTGCTCAGCTGCTGCTCCAGCTGAATGTGCAGGTCTTTGGGATCAAAGACTGTTGTGCTGTCACTGCCTTGACCTGTTAGAGAACACACAAATACTGGTGATTAACAAAGAAAGTAGACAATCTGTGTGGGAGCGAGAGATTGAGAAAAGAAGCAGGTCCTCTTTGTAACTTCAGAAGAGTGACACATTAGATGATTTTCACAAGGAAGAAATTTTTAAGTTCACAAAACACACACATGGACCAGTTTTCATATTACTGCATTCCTAAACAGAAACATAATTCCAGCAGCCGTCTTTTACGAATGGTAGCTCATAGAAAAAATACCCACCTGGAAAATAGTGATTGATGCCAGTGGGGTTCATTCACTAATATAGGCAAAATTATCCAAACAAAATAAGTGTGCATGCAAAAGTTTTGGTCTGATTAATGAAACATGTGCAATGTTTTTCTACTTTTATTTTTGAATGCTATATGACAAAATATTCTGTGATATAAAGTGAAAAGGTTTGACATCAGAGATGATGTGAAGAAAAATAAGATAGCATAAGAAGGAAGCAGGTGGAGGAGATGAAGAGCCTCCAGCCCACTGGGAAGTAGCAAACTGGTAAGAAATGAATGCCATTGATGACATCCAGCCAATATGCAAGTCTTTTTAGTAAATGCAGCTTTAATATGCTAAGCATTTAGTGTTAGGTATATTAGCTAAAGCTTGAACATACACTTTTTCACTCAATCGTTTATGTTGTACGTTACATTTGAATTCTTTATTGTTATTTAACTCCATGATTTTTTTTTTACATTGTTCTGGAAAACAAAATAATTGCCAAAATAAGTTTAAAACATAAGACAGACTGGTATACATGTGGTCTGGGGAAGTTTTACATTTGTTTATAAAGTATTAAAAAAAATTCATGTAGGAAAATACTGATGAATTCTCGATACGTGGGTGTTTCTGCGCACTGTTTAAGCACAGTTTTGTGTGTGCACCATGTTTAGAATTAAAAATATTACTTCTAGAATACTTAGAGAAATTTTGCATTACTCATTTTCCTGCCCTGCGATAAATTGGCCACATGTCCATGGTGTATGTTGCATCCTGACTGCTATGATAGACTCCAGGACCACAATGTCTCTGAATTCAGTAAAGACAAATGGATGGATGGATGGATGGATGGATGGATGGATGGATGGATGGATGGATGGATGGATGCTTTTCTTCACTACATCGAGTTAAAGCCGCTCACTGATCTGAACAGGCGACTGTGTGTCGATTCTTACCAGTGGGTGCATTTGTGGTGACTCTCCCCTTTTTGCGATACACCTGCAGCTCACGCTGAAGAGAATGGACCAAACTGCGGCTCTCACAAAGCTGCTGCCGGAGAACAGTCAACTCATGCTGGAGCCTGAGGTATTTCATAAAATGCATGAAATCATGTTATTTATTACCTATGATTTCTTTAAGATATGTGTTTCCTTCAAAACAGTCCCACTAAAATGTCTAAAAAGTGTTAGTGTTGTTCCAAGTATTCCAATGAGAGAAACAAACAGACTACCTGTTGACGGCTTCCTGGTTCCTCAGTCTGTCTTGTTTCAGGTGTAACATCTCCTGACTCTGAGCTTCACCCTCAGTTTGGAGCTTCCTGGTTTGCTTTGCCCACTTCTCAGCCTCTAGCTCCACCTCCTTCACCCTGGAACGCTCCTGGAGCGCCACCTCCCTCAGCTGCTCTGCCTCCTTAGTGCTCTCTGCATGATACATAACAACAGAGCAGAGTGGATATTTGGATTTTGAATTTTTTTGTCTGATTTCAGGCAGGGACATTTAAGACTCACATTTGCATTCTGAATAAATAATATAAATAATGACTCTTGAGCTTATGACATGGTAGTAAACATTAAACTGTACCTTTGGTAACCTGCTTCAGCTGATTTTGTAGACTAACATTTTCCTCTTTTAGAAGTCTAATCTCACTGGCAAGCTGGTTGACTGATTCCAGTCCCTGGATGTAAATATTCGTAGGAGCACCTTTGGAGGAGATAGAGACAGAGGAGTGAAAAATAATAAATAAATAATAAATAATAAACAATGACAGAAAAAACATCTTTGTAAATTAAATTTAAAGCAATAAAATTTCAATAACATATTTTGTTAGAACTAAATTCAATGCTTTTCAAAACTTTGAGCCCCGCAGATAACACGAACAGTGTGTTCGTTTGTCTCTGTTACCTTTCTC